CCACAGCCAGTGAAGGCCATGAGGTTCCCCAGAAGGAAAGGCCCAGCCGGACCAGTACTCGCGGTGAGGCGGACCGGCCAGCCAGGCCCAAGGTTCAACTACGAGCTTTTTAACTGCAACAACTTTAATATACGCTATTGGAGCTGGAATTACCGCGGCTGCTGGCACCAGACTTGCCCTCCAATTGTTCCTCGTTAAGGGATTTAAATTGTTCTCATTCCAATTACGAGACCCAAAAGAGCCCCGTATCAGTATTTATTGTCACTACCTCCCCGTATCGGGATTGGGTAATTTGCGCGCCTGCTGCCTTCCTTGGATGTGGTAGCCGTTTCTCAGGCTCCCTCTCCGGAATCGAACCCTAATTCCCCGTTACCCGTTGCCACCATGGTAGGCCACTATCCTACCATCGAAAGTTGATAGGGCAGAAATTTGAATGAACCATCGCCGGCGCAAGGCCATGCGATTCGTTAAGTTATTATGATTCACCAAGGAGCCCCGAAGGGCGTTGGTTTTTTATCTAATAAATACACCCCTTCCTGAAGTCGGGGTTTTTAGCATGTATTAGCTCTAGAATTACCACAGGTATCCATGTAGTAAGGTACTATCAAATAAACGATAACTGATTTAATGAGCCATTCGCAGTTTCACAGTACAAGTTGCTTATACTTAGACATGCATGGCTTAATCTTTGAGACAAGCATATGACTACTGGCAGAATCAACCAGGTAACTTCATGGCAAGACATCCCGGGGGGCCCACCCGCCTTGCGGCGAGAGAGTCCCGGGAGCCCAGACCCCCGAAGGGGTAGAATGTAGTTAAATGGAAGGGGCGCACGAGGCGCCCGGTTGCGGCGGCACCCCCGGCGTACCGGGGGGACGCTGAAACCATCCAATTGCCCCCACTAAACTCCTCAGCACCAGTCCGCACGCAGGTGATCCGACCAGGCGCCCGTGAAGGCGCTGGCAGGCTGCGGCATGTGGCCCTCGGATGAAGGGTCCAGACCCCGTGGACAACGCCGGCGAACGGCGGATCCCACGGGGCGGCTCCCTCCAGGAATCTGAGTTTCGGGTATGGCCAGCGGCCATCGATCCACAGACCCCAACGGTGCCGGGGGCCAAGAGGCCCCCGGGCTTCAGTCACCACAGCGGATACACCAGGGGCCCAGCGCGGCGAGGGCCCCCCAATAAGATCCAAGGCCGGGCGTCGCCGAAGCAACACTACGCGGGGAGGATAGTATAGGGGGGGGATCAGGCGTTGCTGGGTGCCCGGAAGCACCGCTGCGGTGGGTGATCTCCCCCAGCGCTGAGGTGCGGCGCGAGGCAGCAACCATCAGAACCGGAGAGGAAATCAGCCTGGCAGGGAAGATGCGGAGACGAGTTATCCTCGTCTCTACACAAACCCACCGACCCCATTTGGGATGTAAAAATGCAAATCGCAGTACAAGTGGCTAGAAATTGCTGCGGGGGACAATTTTTGTATGGGCATGGTCCGTGCACGGTAAAAACACCATACAAAGTGGGCCACTTTTTTCAAAAGCTGAGTGACATTTCCGTTTTTCGTGGGACTTAGTCGTTTGAAAAGTCGTCAAGTCACGTGATGGGCTTCGGGCGTGGCTTCGGGGGCAAGTCCCCCCCCCCCTTCCGCCCCCCGGAGGCACCCCTACCCTCCATCGTTCCGGGGGTGAATAGGCATGTGGATGGATATATATATATATCGATGCACGGGTGGTCCATGTTGCTACCGACTTTCCCTTCCACAGTACAGAATATATATATTCAGCCTGGATATGTATTGTGCCCGGGGGACCGCGATGGGACCTAGCGCCAACTGGCCAGCGCCAGCACCCCCTCCCCAAGTGCCGCGAAGGTTGGCTGGCCGTTTCGAGCCCCCGTTCGGCCCCGCCGGCAAGCCACTGAGCGAACTGGCGAGTATCCAAAGTCGCCATATTGGCTCCCCTGTCGAGGGGCTCTCTCTCCTGACTACCTGGGCGGAGGGGGCTCTGCCTGACGCGCCTCGCGCGCGCCTTCGGCTCGCCCTTCTCGGCTGCCTTCCGCCCGCCAGACCGGCCATCTCCCCCGCCGCGCCAACTGGCGCCCCCACCCCCCTCGACCTACCCGGCGGCCTCGCCCGGCCCCTCTCCCAGGGCCGCGACGCGCCACCCGCGGCCCCCTCGCCCCGGGCCTGGAGGACTAAGGACCGCCTGTAGCGTGTGGTTGCGTGGGCACCGGTGCGCCGGGGTATCCTACCGCGAGGGTCACCCTGCCAGGGCCCCAACCGTAAGATCCACCGCCGCCCCTGATTCCTCACCCAACGCAACACAACCACTGTGGCGAGCCCTCAATCCCTCAGGCCCGGACCGTCCGGCCAGGATCGCTTCTACACAAACCCACCGACCCCATTTGGGGTGTAAAAATGCAAATCGCAGTACAAGTGGCTAGAAAATGCTGCGGGGGACAATTTTTGGCGGGTGTGGTCCGTGCACGACAAAAACACCATACAA